GCTGCTGTGATGTGCTTTAACATCACACGGCGTCGAGCTAAAGCTTTTTGATGTATTCTTTCCTTCCACCCGACAAAATCCAAATTTTGGGTCTGTTGCATATGTGCCCCAAGGGTCCTCAGAGGTTCCTTCCTCCACCCTGTCTTCCACCGACGTGCAGCCTCTGCACGTCGCTCACCACGTCTATAAAATGCTGCCAAAATAAATACTGGCTGCAACTAAAGAGGGGAGACGCGTCATTCTAACAAAATAATGGACACCAGTTCACAATGGTCAACGCATAAATGTGTTTCAGTTTTCGGTACACGTCGCCCAAAGCAGCCGGTCTGTGTGCATGCATGCGTGTGTGTGTGTGAGCGAGAGAGAGAGAGGGAGGGAGAGGGAGAGAAAGAGAGAGAGAGAGAGAGAGAGAGAGAGAGAGAGAGAGAGAGAGAGAGAGAGAGAGGGGAGGGGACCAGCGACGCAGCAGCTCCGCGCACACTGTCATCCGAGGCTGGTGAGGAGATGTTGGGATGCGGGAGCGGATGCTGGTAGCAGTATCGCCTCGGCCTCGGCTTGTCTCTGGTCACTCAAGCAAAAGTAATGCCGGTGTTTTAAAAACAACTCTTCTTTGGGTTGGATCAACTCATTGTGCAGGTTTCCTCTCAGCCAGTGAAGGCTCGCAACGTGTAGGTTTCTCCCTGGACTCCTGGCTCTGATAGTTTGGTTACACTTGAGATGTGATTGTAGAAACTTGCGTTAAAACACTGAATGGACTTGAACCGGAGAAGCGGGATTTATTTAAAGTTGGTGGCTTGTAAGTATTAATTTTGAATGTTTTTATTTGTGGATTGATGGTGTTTTTAACATTTAGACTATGGAAATGTGGATGCTTGGCTATTTGCTATATAATAATAGTAATAATAATGATAGAAATTAGTATTAATAGTAATAACATAAGTACTTACTATTAAAAAATATTAAAAGTAATAATTACATTACATTTCAGTAAGGTTGACATTATGGTTCAATTAAACATTAAATTGCAGTTTCAAATATAGTGAGCCCTGAAGTGATGAGTGGCAGCCGGCTGTTCCATCCCATATTAGCGGGAGCATCCATTGAGCGGTGATGAGGCGGGCAGAGTGGCCCCAGAGCTGGCGTTTATAAAGCAAACAGTTGTGTGATTGTTAGCAGAGCCTGGGAAAATGTCCCCTTGGCTGGGAGGTGGAGGGACTTGACGCCAGAGCCTCTTGTTAAGAAGACTTGTGTGCTCCCAGACAGCATTGTGATGCTAATGAGCACCAGCACGTTGTTGAACTTGATGTTGACTTTTTTTTCTTTGGGCGTTTTTTTTTCTTTCTCCTTTCTTTCTTTTTCTTTTTTGGTCACTTGTTTGTGGGAAAATCCTCTCTGGAGCTACAGTGTGAAAATAATTAATCAGGCCTTTGCAGTTAACTACAATCGAGAACCATCAAATACTTGGAAATTATACAAAGTCACTTTTACTCAGTTTTTGCTGTTTCATGTTTGGTGTTAAAGTTTATTTTACCAAACCTGTTCTTCTGAGAGAGAGAAAGAGAGACACTCACTTTACATTTTCATGAATACGAGATTCCTTTTTTCCCAAAACCAAAATTAATAGATACGTCCAACAATCATATTTAAATATTTGATATTTTATATTATTAATAATGGTAATATTTTAATATAAAAATGTGTGTGTTGCTATTATAATGGTTTAAATTATAAAACTGATAAAAGTAAAAGTAAAATAAGTACAACAGAATTATGTTACATTTAACAAGATTTCTTTCTTTCTTTCTTTCTTTCTTTCTTTCCTTCCTTCCTTCCTTCCTTCCTTCCTTCCTTCCTTCCTTCCTTCCTTTCTTTCTTTCTTTCTTTCTTTCTTTCTTTGTTTATTGCTCAGTGCAACAGGTGTAGGCCTAACCTACTGTAAATTGAATTGCCAGGACTAGAAATCTATCTCCTGTATACATTTCTACTTAAAACACATAATTGCTCATGCAATATAAAATCAAACATCCAACACTGGCGCAATATTAATTTTAAAGCGATTAATCTGCATTACGAGATTTAACTTAAATTAACTTGAGCACACTCAGTTTCTCTATAAACACAATTATGTCCACATAATAACTAATATAATCAGGTGTAAAATTGGGCTGATGTAAATCTTATATTTTGCATAAATATAATGTTAGAGTTAAATAGTGTTTATTTCCCTGGTTAATGTGCCAGTTATAGCAAAAAGAAAACCAAATCACAACTGCCTTTGCTTCTTGAAGTCTATTGGCAGATTTAGATCATCATTCTCAGTGGGATTTATTTGAGAAACAGTTTTTTAAAATACTCGGAAACCTGTGATTGTATGTGAGCTGTTGGGCTGCAGACAGCTGGGTGCTGTGAGGTTCCTCGATCTGAATATGAAAATATTTTTTATGCGTTCGTACTGTCACTCAGTTTTAATTTGAAAATGTATTTTATTACAGTTTATTAGATCCCAACGGGTTTAGAATTTGCTTGAATAAAGCCAAACTATTTCAGTGTTTCTCTTTTCAACCTCCGATTTCTAAACAGCGCCGTGAATTAATTTCATTCGTTTCAGCACCAAGGACAGAGACTGTACTTTTACTGGAGGTGCTGAACTTCAGTCTCTACAGTTTTTCTTTAATACAGCAGTTTTATTACAATTAAACTGACCCCCCCAAAAAAAAAAAACCAAACATATTTTAAGTGGCTGCTTTTGCATATTTGTTGATTTTGTTTTGAAGTTCTTGCAATAACAGAAACAAACGAGAAAGAAAGAATCCTCCATTTTTTCTCGTCGCTGTCATCTTACGAACACACCGTGAACCCGGCGTGTTTAACAAACAGCAGACACACACAAAACAATATGGCCGGTAACTTAATTACTGGCTGACTGACGTTTGATGTTTCTCAGCCTTCTGGGAGAAATATGAGCAAAGGAGAAGACAGTGAACGCAACATGTGCAGGCTGCAACGTTACAGAGGAGAAAGCTGTTGGCAAGGTGTTTAGCTCGTTGTCACTGCACACCTGACTGCACTGTACGTCTGACAGGACGTGACGCAGTCAGGGGGCGTGTTCAGACCAATTCACGTGAGGCTGATGAAAGGCAGAGCTAAGAGTCAATCAGTATTAATGTACAGTACCATCATGCAGAGCGAAAAATCAGAGAGCGCGTCCACACACCCACACCCCACACACACACACACACACACACACACACACACACACACACACACACACACACACACTTTTAAACTGTTACTTTTGCCCTTAAAAACATGAATAAATAATAGTATTAGTTTATAAATATTTCTGCTTTAGCAAAGAAATAAACAGCTACAACTGTCAGTCTTATTTACTTCTGGCATAAAATGGAAGTTTAGTTGATTTGAAAAAAAAACACAAAATGTATACTATATTTTTTGTTTCTCAAACGAGGGCGGATGGCAGGGAGCCTTGGTAATTATGGAATTATAGAAAATGGGGTTCTTATTTGGAAAAGATGAAGAATATTTCCTGTGTCTCTGCTGTTGAGAAACCCAATGATAATGCGATGATAATTTCCTAAAATATCCCAAGCTCTTTCCTGAAATAAAAACACTTTATTTGCAGGCCTACATAAAACTGGCAGAGCTCATTAAAATTCAAATGATAAAAATCGTGTAGGTCACACACACACACACACACACACACACAGAGAGAGAGAGAGAGAGAGAGAGAGAGAGAGAGAGAGAGAGAGAGAGAGAGAGAGAGAAAGAATTACCGACTGTAACTACAGTGGAAATATACGAGAGGCTCGTTATTTCGCATTTGAAATGGAACTTGGCGCCATCTATAATTAAAAAAAAAAAAATCACAATTTTGAATAAGGATGAATCATACAGTGTGACCTGTACACGGTTCTATTAGAAAGGATACACTCACACACCATAGGCTTCTATTAATATAGCAGCAGAGGCTGTAGTGCAAATGAAGCGTACAGTACCGCTTTAGTCATTCTTTACATTTTCTTCATTAGACTCTCAGACAATCGCCTCCCTGCAATTACTAATTAAAACATGAAAGTGGCGCGTTTTGAAGACGAAAGGTAAATGCAAAGAAATCTACAAAATAATAGAATAAAATCATTCGTTTTCTTTGCAAAAAAAATGATATGATTTGGATTGTCAAAACTAACCCTAACCTTTAACCGGTGCAATGCTGTGTCCTGAAACCTGCAGGTTGTTGGCTTGTTCACGTGACTGACTGCTTGTTCTGTGTTTTTTTATGGGGACAAACTTTCTGTCCTTATTTACCCAGACAGGGTGTGGCTGAAAGACGGATAGTTTATTGTCAACAAATCCTTAAACATGGCCAGTTGTGTGATGTATTGCCCACGGCCTACATCCAGTCAGGTGACTGTGCTGCTGTCTCACACTGTTGCACCCATGTACCTCCTTTAGGACAAAGCTATTATTGTTATTATAAATTTGAATACTCTTACCGTGCGTACTGTTTAGTTTTAGTGGTGAGTGAAACATGGTGCATTATTGATGTTATCTAATGGATCATAGAAATATTCCTCACTTTGTTTAAGGAGCTCTGGGGACACCCCCCCCTTCAGTTGATTTTGAAACGCTAGGGCCTTATATTGAGACCCGACAGCCGTTTACACAAGCGGTGGCTGTTTATGATGGCGGATAAATTTGACAGCTTTCCAAGTATCATCATGTCAACGCGTTTTTTTTTTGTGGTATCTCCTGGTCAGCTTTTACTTTCGGTGTTCACTACCTTTCCGTTTTGTCCACCCCATATCTCTGGTGCTCTCCCATGTGTGTGCCAATGAGCATGCCTAATTCTGTGGACACCGCGCGTCTCCCCCTGGCAGCCTGACCCCCGAGGCCCCCGGGCGGCCCTCCGCCTCCTGCGCCCCACATCTGACACTCTGATAGCTGAGGCGCTTTCTCCTCACTCTCATTTTCTCTTCCTCGGGCTTTGCTGCAGTGATTCCGACATTGCCGGAATGGACGTTATTGCTCGATTATTCCTCCAAGGATACACGTGCATACACCGAGGGGGTAGAGCTGTGCGTAAGATGGGCTTTGTCCTCGCGTAGGCTGTGTGCCGGCATCCCACATGGTCTAAGACAGGCAGCATCACGGATGGAGAGAGCCGGGGAGAGAGGCTCCCATCCCGGATTGAGTGTAGAAAAATATCTCGGCCTCATCAAAGCCTGGTGGATTTTGATAATTTTGTCTTATTTAATAACGCATCACTGTCCGATTATGGAAACTGCAGTTTCAGATAGACTGAATATGTGAGTATGCTTATTCTCAAATAAAGGCTATTTAATGTGAAACATTTTAGAAGGAAGAATACAGTGTAGTTTAAATAATCGTCTTTAATTTGCTTTATCTTGCCTATAATATCATGTGAGTTGCACAATAGTAACTTCTTCAGAGCATTACATGTGCCAACAGATATTAGACATGCTAAGAAGTCAAATTACAGTATTTCACCATGACGTTTGTCCTAATGTTTATCTGTGGGTTGTTTTTCTGCAGTAAAAATTAGATTTGTCCTGATGATGCATATTTACGCAGCACAATAATCATGTTTTAGTGATTACAAAGGATTGTAAAGGCTAGTTTGCCCTGCTTCAACTTGACAGCATGTCACCAACTGATCCAAAGTACACAGTGACATCCAGTGATGCTGGACTTGTTCCACTAGATCATGTTGTTGACATTTAGCTGGAAGCCTTTCTACTGTACGCTGTATATGGGCATTTGGTAGTTTGTCATGCTTTCAAACAATTCATGGATTAATTCACTCAACACGGAAACTGTGGTCTATGGTCTGAAATGGGTCGATGTGAGCTGGCATTTAAAACAACAATAAGCCGGTTGCTTGTGAGGGCCTGTTAGTGTGTTCTTTTAGGGAGCGAGTGGAAGTAACATTGTCTCTTACCTCAGCTTAGGAGCTGCGTTATCACATAGGAGCTCACCCTGGATATGATATGGTCTTATTAGCAGGTAGATGCATGCTCTGTTAAGGCTATCAGTGGCATGGTGGCTAGTTTTCTTTCCTGTTACGCTTGTCCACGGATGGCAGGCGAATGTGTCATCATCCTCCTGCAGCTGGATGACTTCACCCTGCAGATGCTCGTCAGGACTTGTAGTGGGAGTGGGAAGTTCACCTCTGGTTTTGAAGGATAGTAATGACGGCGTGAATCCACAATCACCTGATACTGTAGTATAATTGCTGGAAGGGGTTTTGTTTAGAATAATACACTTTGTTGCATATTGCTGATGATGGTCGTACGGTGATGGAGGTTGTGGTATACACATTGTTATTTTGCCACCCTCTACATCATTCTGAGCTATTCCAAAACAGTCTGAGGACGTGGTTTTTGTAAAGGACAGGCAGTCTTTATGCGTAAAGGCAACGGGATATTACCTATAACGTAAAGCTTTGTGCATGTCCGCAGTCATGTGTGTATATTGGGGACAGATAGAGAGACACAGGGACAGGGGGCGCAGAAGAAGAAGAAGAAGGAGAGAGAGAAAGAGAGAGAGATAGATAGATAGAGAGAGAGAGAGAGAGAGAGAGAGGCGTGCGCACGCAGGCGGAATGCAATGGCTCCATGTGACCACAACACAAGCAGCTCCGGCAGCGGCGGCCCCTTTAAGAGACGTGGGTTAGTTTTTCTCTTTGGTTATCTAGCTGTATGAGTTTATGTAATATCATAAAGCTAGAGAACCGAATGTATAAACTAATTCTACAGTCGTCACGGCGGAGCGAGACGGAACTGGGACCGATGAAGAGGGGCGGGGAGCGAGGGGGGCTGCCGGCGGAGCGGATGGATGGATGCAGCCCGCACGGAGGACTGGAAGCCCGCGGCAGCGTCCGTGCATCGCACCGTGAAACGCCTCCTGCTTACTTGGACGTATGCCGGTGCAGAGGGGAACGCCGCCCCCCCCTCCCCCCCCAAAAAAACACCGGATTCATAGATTTCTTTCACGGGGGATGCGTGGAGTGACAGTAGTTAGCAACCGGAGACAGGCTCCATTCATGGAGTGATGATGAGGAGGAGGAGGAGGAGGAGGAGGGCGACTCGGCAGTGGTGCTTCTGCTGTTTCTCTTAATGGAACATACCCGCCTTTCAGTCACACGACAGTAGCTTCTCACAGGCGTGTTTTACATGTTTTCTGCTGATTGTGTTAGTTAGTTGGATGCTGATAACCAGGAGGTGGAAGGAACACGGTTTGTAGCTGGAGAAGCACCTGATTGGAGGAGTCGTGGTAGTCACGTGTTCCACCAGTAGCCCCCATATCCCCTTGATGCTGGGCCATCTATGTAATGATAAGGAAAGGAGCTAATACACCTACAGGAGGCTCCTATTTGTGTCTCTGCAAAAATGCATATTGCTTTATTTTGTATTGAACAAGTTGATGTGGGAATGATGCATTTTATTCCCACCATACTGGGCTAACTGCACAATCCCACTATCAGGTGCATTCTCAGGGCTTAGTATATCCGGAACTGTACAGCAGGTGCGGCAAAGATCAGGAGATTGTGAAGCAGGTCATCAGAGTAACGTGTCACAGGTTATGAAGTGCAGAAGAAGACGATATTGTGATTCAGTAGGTGGTTGTCAAAGGGATCATCTTATATCCCCGGATTTAGCTTGATTGATGCACTTATTAACAGCAGCTTCAGGCCTCCTGCACAAGGAAGTGAGAACAAAACCATGTCTCCTACTGCTGAGGAAAAGACCAATGGGACATCAGGGAGACAAGATGTGCATCTTTGTGTCCTTTTTTTTAACAAAAGCATTCCTAGTTTAGCTACATTTTCCTAGATGTAGTTTATTTTTATAAATCAGAGGATGAGAACACCCTAGGGCTTAGTATAGCTATGTTACAGTAAACAATATTTCATCTAATGAGAGATATCCGTAACTGATTGGGGACTACACACCACATAGCACCATTAAGTGTGTTTCATTGCTGATGTGCAGAAGCAGGCCAAGCAGAATTTTCGGAGGCAGTATTAAGGGAGGGCTGGGTCGGCTGGGTCGTCCAGGCCTGTTTTACAATGCTGTTTGGGCTGCACACCATCTCTTCTTTCTCCACTCCATCCTAGTCAGAGAGGAGCTCCTGTCTGGTTGCAGGACTGCCTGAGTGATAGGTTGTAGCCTGAAGTGGAGCCTGTTGAATTTTAAACAAGCCAATTCTGTGTTAGCTGCTAAAGCTGTAGCTGCTCTGTGTGGTGGCCCTGCTCGGCACGGTGTGTGTGAGTGTGTGTAGCAGCACAGAGCCTGGTGCTACTGTTAGTAGGCCCCATCTTACTGCGTCACAGACCAGGGCAGGTGGGGAAGGAGCTAGCTTGGGAATATCTCTGCTTTCTCTTGCCTTTTTGTGACAATATGCTGCTACACTGCTGCTGTGTGTGTTGATACTGCCGGGTTGTGTGAATAGGCCAGTGTTGTGTGTGATGTGAAGCAATAGGCTATCTGTTATTGTAATTATGGTGATATTAATGATAATTTCAGGCTATCAGTATGAGCTGTGCCGTTGTACTTTTAGTAGTTTAATAGAGGCGCAAATGAATGTTTTTATCAAGGAAACACTGCAGGAGCGTCAGGATACCCATGTCTCAATTTTAATGTGACAGCACCTAGTAAATGGTAATTGAGACAATATTTTAATACACTGAATTAAAACTTGTATTAATTCAGCTGGAATATCCCAATATTCAGGACTATGTGTGTACAGAAACTACCCCTTTTTTTGTAAATGCACGTCCCTTCTGTCCTTTTTGAGGGTTAATTGCAATATTAAGCTAAAACATTAATAATACGGCATGTTTCCATTTGATTTGACAATGGCGTTTTGTGCTATAACTACACGCCACAGCAACAGCAGCACCTCCCAGCATTCGCCTGGTTGCAGAAGAAATTAATGCATTGCTGAGGGGTAATAAATGGAGGATATGGGGAGAGCCCTTTGAGATTGAAATGCAGTCTGAGAGGCAGGCTAGACGTTGGTTTTCCCACATTAATATGTGTCTGTCTGGGCCCTCTCCACCATCAGGAGGAGGCCCTCAACACCAGATGGAGCCCAGTCTAGTCTATGTCTAGTCTACCAACACCTGCCATAAGGCTGCATTACCCTTCCCATTGTCTTGCACAGGGATTCATCCATTTGTACATTTATTTGAAATTTTATTGTTTCACCAGCTTGAAATTTATTCTACGAGCTGTTACGATAGAGGAATTAACAGACAAATTAAACAAAAAAATTATGTATAGAGAAAATAGGGTTGAAAATGATGTAGAAGGAATGAGGTGAGAAGATAAGAGGAGGAGAGGAAATGTGTTTATGCATGCATGCCATACATTTCTAACCGACCTGTCATGTCTGTAGCCATTCCTGCTGAAGCGTAGATATGTCAGTATGTCCCCCCTCATCTCTACCTGTTCCTTCCCCACTCTCTGTCTCTGCACTGTATTGATAACGTTGAATATTTTCATGTTGTAGTTCTGGGTGTTGCATGAGGGCAAATTGTTGTTTGTTGGAACAAAGCAGTCACCCTATAGCTACACTGTCCTGTACACAGCAGAGCCATTGTTTTAGTTTACAGCCCTGCTGCATTTCCAAGCTACCATCCTATAGATGTTATCTTGTTTGTGTCACACTTGGCCACTAGATTGCAGAGCTGTGTGTATGAGTGCGCGTAAGTGTGTGTGCACATGTTTCTGAACATTTGTGCATGTGGTTCTCTGCATGTGTTTACGTGTCTGCTATACTGCGCGTTGTTACTGCACCCTCAGTGCCTCATTTTCTGTCTCTACAGAGCACAATAAACATGACAGCATACTGTCGATTACAGAATAGTTCTTTTTTTACATTGTGGAATCAGGCTGCACAGTTTTGTATTTTCATCGACAGCAAGACTGTGCTCGAGATTGGGGTGTGTGGCTTTTATTTTAGCAAGAACTGCTTCTGTAATTTCTGTCTTTATGTAGAAAATTACTGTAAAGCATTTTCCAACTGTTTTCTTAATTGTATAATATCTGCGGAATTGAATTGCTCTGTGAGCATCATATCAAGAAAATCCTGATGGATTTTACTCCAAAAATTGTTTTTTATTTTTTTATTGAAGCTATATTCACTTATTATTATTATTATTATATTATTATTACCATTATCAAAGCATAATAATAGTATTACGCTTTTATTGAGATCTGAAATGATTCATGGTTCATGGTCTATTTGATTCCATATCATAAAAATCCATATTCCAATGTTATCAATTTTCTATTATCATTTTACCTTGAATTGCAATGGCCTATATAAACCTTTTCTCTGAACTTATGAATTCTGGGTTTGGTAGCCTAGCAACAGCCTCTGACCCATGCAAGTGAAAGAGAAAAAAAATTGAAAGGCTGACATGCAGGCTTTAAACCCGCAAAGGACATCAGGTTTCAGCGGATGTAATCTTTCAGTATTTTGTGTAATCGCTTGTGAAGTGCGTTGTGTGTGTGTGTGTGTGTGTGTGTGTGTGTGTGTGTGTGTTGAAGAGATTGGTATTGTTATACATTTACTACTGACAGTTGAAATAGGAAATATAAGAAACTTTACTACACATGAATCTAACAATATAACGCAGCTGTTTTTTATTTTATTTTCCAATATCACAATGTGCACTCTCGTCATCATTCTATTTGGATAAATTAATGTGCCATCATTAATTACAGTAGTGTTATCTGTTTGGCGTGCTCCGTTCTCCTTTTCCAGTTTAATTTGTAAACATAATTTTTTGTTATGTAGTTTGTTTTAAAGGCCTAATACAATTTACTAGCAGCCCAGATATTAAGAAGTGTCTATTTTTGCCCTTCTCTTTTTTAGAAACAAAATAAAACTTTCTATTCTACACATTTAATTTATGATTTGATATTTTCTCTCATTTTATCTTTAAGTCAAAATATCCTAAATTATTTTTCCAGAATGCCAGGTGATATTATATTATTAATAATACTCTTTTTTTTTTCTTTTTTAAATCGGTGTAACATACCTCAAAGGTTTCCTATGATAGAGGTTTTCAAGTATGGCACAGTGCTTTGTAAGAGAGAATAAAGGTGGATCAGACACGTTGGGCTGTGGGGTTATGACCTGCTGCAGGAGTAGACCCTCTTTCTCAACTTAATGCTTTATGTTTTTGCAGGAATCTATTGAGTGCTGACCAAAGCGCAGGCACACAGAAATACACACACTCCATCAGCAGGCCTGCGTCTGAACCTGGAGGACATCAGGTCAGCAGAGACACACACCACCTCCTGCTCTGAGCATCTAGAGGTCACAGAGCGGGTCAGAACAAGGCTTCACCACTCCAAAGTTACAGGTGAGACTTTAAAATGATCTTCCTCCGTGTGCTATCAAGCATACAGCACTATGTCAATGATTTGTAAACAGACTTGAACTACGTACACAGTACTTTCAAATAACTACACTTGAACCGGTGATCCTGTTTGTTTTGAGGCCTATTAAGTGGTACAGTTTGCGCTAAAAAGTCCCGACTTCATCATCTTTTATATCCTCACAAAGACGGGTGAGGTGGACGTGCCTCTCATTCTTTGCATGTGCACTTTCTCATTTGCCTTCCTCACCCTCTCATTCGCCTCTCGCCCCCTGCTTTATAACGTCTGATCCAATTTGTTAGATTCTTCGGTTTTGGCAGATAAGGCACAGGGTGGCCACTTGTGTAATCTATATTTTAATTCCTTTGTCCATGCTTTTTTTTTATCCCTTTAAGGATACATGTGGAGGGGGGGCTTGGCCCGGTGTGTGTGCAAGGTGTGCTCATGTGGAAAGACTGCCAGGGTGGCTAAGTCCCTCACGCCTCTAATTCCCTCCCTCCCCTCTGTACTCCCCCCTTACTCCCCCCAAACTACTTACTTTTCTGTCCCCTGCTCTCTGTCCAGTCCTTGGGCCTCCATCCACTCAGTCACACACAAATTACTTTACTGTTACTTTATGTTTTTTGTTTGGGGAAAAGTCTCAAGATGCACCTTAATACCTCTGTGGATTCGCTTACTTTTTTCCAACAAGTATAAGTCTGTGGCTTTAAACCCTTTCATACTGTGAAATAGCACAATTATTATTTCAATTTATTAACCAAATTACACAGTATATACTATACTTGTTACAAACTAGTATCAGTGGTGGATAGAATACAAAAAATCTATACTCATGTAAAATTACAATTACTTCCATAAAAAATAACTCATGTAAAAGTGAAAATTACCTGACTAATAAATTACAAGTTCCATTTTTATACTTTTAGGGTGTGATTACTACTGCAATTATGAAAGTGACGCTGAAGTTGGCATTATGTTATCTTAATTGCTTTCTAAAGCACACCCATTTAAAGATAAGTTGATGTCATTATCATAACACCAAAGATTAACGTTATACATGAGAAATTACCATAGCTAACATTAGCTAGCTAACTACATTTTCACTTACAGAATGTACAACTTTCTTCAATGTGCTCACAAAGGTTAGAAGAAGAGTTTGTAAAAGCGGAGATTTTAGTGTTCTTCAGGAAACACAGCAAGCATTTCATCATGTAACTCTCGATTTTTTTGATTTTTGTGTTAAAAGTGGACAGATGTGGCTAGGGATTGTCTCTGGAAGCTGCTTCTTGTTCTGTGTTATCTCCATCATCATCACATCATGGCCAAAAGACAGGTGCTGCTTATTTTTCTCCTAGGCTGCTCCTCGCACTCTCTACCCCTACACTCAATCTCCGCATTTAAAACTGAGTTGTAACGAAGGTATAAATGGTAAATGTGGCCTAATAAAAAAGTAGATTCATAGCTCAAAAACATACTTGAGTAAAGAGTATAGGTACAGTTAAAAAAAAGGAACATAATAATGACTAATATGGACTGATGTCCACAAAGACTGTTGGCCACCGCTGTTGCAGTTCCTCGCCTAAGTAGTTGGCAAAACCTTACAAGCTGTGTATTTTTATAACAGAGTATAATGCCGAAGATGATGGAAGGCTGAAACTAGAACTAGGTGACCCACTCACTTCCCTCCCAGCTTCCCTCTCAGTGTTGAGTGACACGCCTAAAGATTACCTTCGCTATCCTAACAGCTGCTATTGCGGGCCATCAAGGCCGAGAATGCTGCTCAGCTCGTGCATGTTCAACCTCCTGCCGAGAACAAAGTAGACGGAGTGATGGAGGGAGCGTTGGAGAGGGGAGGAGAGGGAGATGAAGCCCCATCCGCAGAGATTGAGGTCCGTCATCAGGGAGAAACAGAAGAAGTGATTTTTTTTTTATTTCCCTCCAGGGTTAGATGAGCGTTCTGTGACATTGGCCTAGTTCCCCCCCCCGAGAAAGAGTTGCGTTTGAGAATCAGACAAGGGAAGATCAGAGGAGATTTCACAGCCTGTGGCTATCCTCCTCCATTGCGTTCAAACACCTCTTAAACCTCCTTCGCTTTGCTTCAACTCGATAAGGGCTGCTGGTCTACTTAGTCAATATCATATCCACAAACTAGATAAATCGATGCAAACAAGCTTTGGTTGGACATGGGCTTTAGAAGAGGAGGCATAGCTACAGGCTAAATTTGACGCAGAGACACATCAATCCAGAAGTGACACTCCTCATGTCCTCTTTGTATTCATAACGGCAATTAAGAGTCAGACTGCTTGGGTTTTGCCTTGTTTTACTCGTACAGGACCCATGTTACAATATGTTCATTTGCTACAACTGTTCATATAGGAAGTGCCGGCCGGAGGATGTGTGATTTCACACATAGCAGTGTTGCTTCCACAGCCGAGCACTCTCATGTATATGGAAAGACTTGAAGTAATCCGCTCATTTACAGTACCTCAGATCCGGTCTGCCATCTCCCTCTCTCTCTTATTCTCTCATACTCTCTCTCTCTCAAACACACAAACACACATACCTCAGTGTACCGTATCTCCTCCCTCCCCCCCATAGTCCCCCACCCCCTTTTCCATCCCCATTCGGGCTCATCTTGCCATCACCTCTCCAGCTCCGCCACCCCAGAGAAACCAATTCAGACTGCTGCTCCACACCGTCATGGCATGTTGGCCAAGGGAGATGGAGTCCTTTCAGGTTCTCGGCTACAACCTCCCTCCCTCCTCCTCCCCCGGCGCTGCCCCCTCACCGTTTCTCAACATTTCCTCAACATGCCTGTTGTATCAGCAGGGTAGCTAGACAGCACGATAGGACTGCTCCTGAGAATCAGTTGGAGTTATTCTGCACATTATGTGACCTTTTAAAGTTTCTCTAAAATTGCATGTGGGTGTGTGTATTTTTTGATTTCACTATGAGCCTGCCTTTGCATGGTTATACTGTCAGATTAGCAAGAGTATCTGAAAGAAATGAAGCCTGCATTATGTGTTTAAACGGACTGATAGTGAGGTTTATCAGTAATAGGTTATCGTTAATAGCAAAACCAAACCCCCAACCGCCCACCCATGGCTTCTTAAAGTTGGCAATCCGCTTTTAACACCCCGCTGTTTGCTGGGATTTTTTTTTTACTAGGCTGTCTAGATTTGTATACATAAACTGCGCTGCTTGGCTGTTCTTAAAAGTTGATTTGAATTATACCCTCTGCATTATGCGGCTTGATAGGAAATAAATCTCTTCAAATGAATACACTGGATGGAGGGTGTGTGTGTGTGTGTGTGTGTGTGTGTGTGTGTGTGTTTGGGGGGGCACTGAGTGTAGAGTGGTGGCGTATGTTAACATAAATTAAAGTCTATCTGCAGAGGGGCATGTAGAAGGAAAAATAGAAACGGTTTGAAGAACAAAAAAGAATAAATGAGGTGAAGAAGAAATGAGCTCTGATACGTTTTGGTGTGTCAGTACAAAAGTATATTAGCAAATTAGTTTTGTCAGTTACTAATTTTGCATTGGTATCACTTGCTTTATTTCATCAGTCACTTTGCTGTATTGTTTCTTTTACCTCCTTAAAGCTCAGAGGCCTCTGGCATCTCAATGCGCACTGACTGAATGGCGAGGTGGCTGTATTAAAGGTTGGTGGTGGCTGTGATGGTGGGGTGCAGCAGGGTGACGAACAGAGCACAGGAGGGAGGGAAGGGGGTCCACTGAAAGGCAGCAGGCTGTGGAGTGAATGGGAAAGTGTGAGGGGGGGGAGTAGGGAGGGAGAGTTGGGCATTAGCAGCGGAGGCAGGTTGGGGGTGTTGGGGGCCTCCGTTGGTTCAATGCAACGGCCGGAGCAGCTGTGAAAAGAGGTCTCCCCTTTTTCCCACGCCCAGTGCGACGCAGAAACCCTGCTTCAGCCTGCCAGGGTCAAGTCACATTTCTAATATATACACTGGGCCTGTGGGCTCGCACAATGCATACACACAGCTCATTTATTTTATGTATGCACACAGACAGACACACACTTGTATGCACACAGCGAGTAGACAGCCTCTCAGACGGAGACAGAGGTGGGGGCCGCCACAGAGAGAGAGAGAGAAAGAGGCAGTATTATGACACTGATTTCTGTCCCGTTGGCACCATTGTTTCGTCTTGGATCTTGCAAATTAACAAGCTGCAAGTGACATGCCCAAACACACACACACACACACGCACACACACAGATGTGAGTTTCACCACGAAACCTGCTAGTTTGAGCACTTTCAATTTCAGTTTGTGGGGGACAAAAATCAACACAAACACCATTAAAGATGCAAATTTAAGATTTGTATTCTTCTTTTCAATTTCTTACACTGTTTACTGTCACAGGTTCTCCACTAAGACATTCATGAATATATCTCAAAGTAAACTTCATATGCGTGGGCTAATATATCTGTGGGTGTCTTCACTGTATACACCCATAACTGTGTCATCCACCCACCCTCCCACCGCCACCGCACCTCAGCCCCTTTCTTCTTCTCTCACGTTTACGTCTCAGCCGCCATTTACAAACTATAATCATATTCCAGGGAGGGGGATGTAAACGCTTTGTCCTGACAGACCCCCACCCAGTCCCCCACCACCACCCCAGTGCCAGATGCCCTGCTGTATTGTGTGGGTGCTGTGGGGGCAGACAGGCAGGCAGCCCCCTTCCTCTGTCTCTCTCTCTCTGCACCATGATGTCACCCTACTTGTCTGTCTGTCTGTCTGTCTGTCTGTCTGTCTGTCTGTCTGTCAAGGCCTTGACAGGAACTTGAGTGTGGGAAGGAAAGGCGTTCAGGATGGGAATGGGGAGGTGGGGGGGTGATAGAGGTTCAAGGAGGGGTTGAGGGGCTGAGGGGTTGGGAGGGGATTTTTTTTTAGGGGGATAGTTTGGGCGTTTGGTGTATTGGGAAGAGAGTGTCTGGCCTGAGAGGTCAGCGAGTGGACTTGA